GCCCGCCCGGGCCTATCGAAGGTGACAGCCAATGGGATCGGTTCAAACCGCGCGACCTCTGGCCACCACCATCGCCTTGGCCCCACAAAAAGAAGGGGAATTCTTTCTTTTTTTTTTTTTTTGGGAGGGGGTGGCTTGGGGAGGAGGTTTAGTGCTGAGCTCGTGGAAGAAAAAGTCAAATTAAAGGAAGAGAGAAAAAGAGGGAAGAGGGGAAAACGGGAGGAAGAAAAAAAAATTAGGAAGAACAGCAAAGAAAAAAGGAGGGAAAAAAAGTTGCTGACAGGAACATGTCTGCAGAGCTTTTTTCCACAATCCCCAAGTGACTAAAATATTAATTTACCCTCCGGCAGTACAGCTGACGGCGAGCTGCTTCTCAGACAGCAAGTGGCATTTTATTAAAAAATAAAGGAAAATAGTTCCCTCAATGACCTTTCTCTGCTTTAGGAAACAATTTTTCAAATAATAATTTTGAAAGTATGTGAAAGTTCCCCTCCCTCTTTAATCAGATCGGGTACCGCCGCCACGAGCCTCCTCTCCACCACCCCACGGTGCCCACCACAAGCTGACCGTGTTCAGCCGGGGGTTGTGGAGGGACCCTGTGCTCCCGAGGGAGCCCCACGTCCCTGCTGACCGGGCTGGGCACAGGCAACGACCTGCTCCAGGTCTTGGTGGCAGCAGGGAGAGCTCTGGGCTGCCCTGGGCGACTTCTCTTGCCCATCCCATCCCTCTCGTGGTGCCGCCATGGACAGAGAAGCACAGCTTGCAAGAAATGAACAGGAGAAAGGTCCAGTCTGTGGACTGTACCAACACCGCCTGCAAACCCACAGCTGGGACAACAGAGATGGAGCACAGAACTAGCCACCCCATAAGCTACAGGGTCAACACCACCAGGCTCAGCTAAAATCAACACCTTCTGCAGGAGAGGGTGTAGGCTGCTGGAGCCTGCTCCGTTTGTGGGCAAAGCTGCGTTTCCTGCATCTCTTCTGGCCACAGGGGTAGAGTCAGACTGCCCTCCTCAAGGGTTAACTGGACACGACCAAATTTATTCTCCCATTAGGTGGCTCCTTTACTACCTCCTCTCCAACTCCAGTGCCAGGGACAACTGCGTGGCTTCTCACTCCCTCCTTTCCAAGTCATCAGGCACTGCTCTTCCTAACCCCATAAGGACAACTGATGAGGGTAACTCACCTGCTTCAAGTGCCACCGAGGGCTTGAGTGCAGCTGCTGCCAGCCTGGCCATCATAGGAGAGATTAATCCCTTGCTAGCAGAGATCCTTTCCATTATAGATGCCGCTGGAGCTGGAGAAGAAGTCGCCGCTGGCTCACCAGACCCCGAAGTGGTCTGGGACGCGGAATCTGTAGAGGTGGATGATGTTGGATTGGTGCCAGAAGAACCAGCCGTCATCAGATTAGCGGAGCTGGCAGGAAGTGGTGTAGAGACCCGGCTGGGGATGATGGGGAAGAAGGATCCAGGTGTTCCAGGAAGTCCTGAGTTGGAGAGTGCCAGGGCCAAGGGTATATTGCTGGGAAGAGCCTGGGAGAGCAGGCCAGAGATCTTGATGGCTGGTGTCATGCTGTTGGCAGACTTGCTGGCCTGTGAGGAAGCAAGCTCAGCAGCAGAGGAGGGTGCAGCTGGGACTATGAGAGAAACGGAAGACTGTTGACTCGTGGGGGAGGCACTCAGGCTGGAGTTCTTTGAGCTCATAGCGGAGAAGTCAATAAGGTCATCGTTACTCGACTCCTCTTGCTCGTTATCCTTGGACCCGAGGAGAGAGGCAGGCAGGCCCAGCACTCCTGAGCTCCGGATGTGCCGGCGCTCGTGTTTGCGTTTATGGGAGGTCATCTGGCTGGTGGAGGTGAAGGTGAAGCCACAGCCTGCCCTTATGCAGTGGAAGTGGTTGGTGGCCTTACTGTAGACACAGCCCTCATACTTGCATTCCTCATACTTGTAGAACTTCTTGAAGCCATCCTTGGCATAGGCATCATCTTTGATGTGGTAGCTCTTGTGCTTCTCAATGTCACACTTGTTCTTGAAGGTGAATGTACACCCAGGTCGCCTGCAAGGGCATCGAGGAGGAGAGGGGTGGTTGGCTGTGTGGGCTAGGAGCACAACTGCTGTCACCTGCCTACCTCTGGGGTAAGGACCAGGGCCAGGATGAGACAATGGCCCTGGCTGCAAAGGTCAAGGAGCTTATTGTGTGTCAACCTGTGACACCAAGGCAAGCAGAAACGCTGCCATGGGAGAGAGCTGAGAAGCTCGCTCCACTCAGGAACAGCCACGACAACGTGGGGATGCAGGCACCCACCACTAATAGTTCCAACCAAAACAGCAGCTCACGGGGAGTGAGATACAAATTGTGGTTCCCTACTCTTCTTGAGAACACGAGAAATCAGTACAAGAGCACTTGTGTACAGAAGGCAGAGTCTGGCCCTGAAAGGGATGAGTTGGTTGGCAAGAACTCTAGCGGGGAAGTGCCGTTAGCAGCATATTAGTGGTCTACTTCAGTCTAACACTGAAGAGCACTCTGATCTCTTTCCCAGCTGATTCTAGGATGTGTTTTCTAGTGGGTACCCTCTCCTCAGACCACACTCCTGCCTTCAGAGTGGTCTGTGCTAAGACCCTGGAAATTGCATCTGCCCTGGAACATGAGTTCTCTCAAGAACAGTACTGAGAAGGGAAAATCAAGTCCCTGTGTACACTCCTGACTTTATGACTTGGCAGAAGGAGGTAAACAGACCACTCAACTCTGAGGCAGGACTCCTCCCTTCCCTGCTGTCTCACCTGCAGTGAAAGTGAGTGGTTTTCTGCCCGTAGAACTGGCATTCCACAGTGCCGCAGTCCTCTGTGGCACGGAACCGCTGAAACCCGTCATTGATGAGCTGCGTGTTCTTCTTGTGAAAGTTCTCATGGGTCATCACGTCAGAGGTGCTCGTGTAGACCTTGTTACAACCCACCTACCCCAGGCCAAAACAGGGAGTCATCAGCACGGTGTTTTAACCGCCTACCATTATCATCAGCAACAATAAACACATGAGCACCACACAGACATTTAATAGTTGCGCTCGTGCACTTCTCCTAGGAGTATTAAGTCATCGCTTTAATTCCCAATCTAAAGACAGGTACAGCAGTTGCGGAAAAAACCCCAACTCTCCGGGTGTGAAAAACTAAGAAAGAAAGGGAAGGGTGCAAAGGGATAGAAGAGCAGCTATGGGTACTTATGCCTGCTCAGGAAGGCAGTAAGCAGGGTTCCTGCTCTTAGGGAGAAAAGAACAGTGACGGACGCCGTTACTTGTTATTATCTTGAAGCAACATGGAATGAAGTAGGACTTTTATCTATCTGGGAAATACAAAATTGAATGGGAATGAGTTATTTACCTCTTTAGCCCTCTGGGAGGTAAGGCAGGGTGGTGCAACATGAGGCCAATCTTTTGAGCTTGTAATATACTGGTTTCATTCTAGCGAGGCATAAACCCCATGCTCAGCTGACCTTAGCAAACTGGTGACTTTTTTGCCCGTCACTGTTCAAGACTACCACTCCAATAATTTTAAACTCGTGCAGCAAATGGGAATGGTGTGACGAGGACGGAATGCTGAAAACCTGCCTTCCTCTGGGTAAAGCGGGCAACTTTGCCATATTGAGTAAAAAACACTGGAATCTGAAAACGTCCTCAGCACTGCTGAGGGAGGATTTTTTTTTCTTTTCTTCTCTAGCACGACGTGTGCCAATGCCTGCACCATCTCAGAAGTGAAGAGAACGAAAACACCACCTCTTAGTTCAGCCCAGGTTGATTCAAACAGGCTATAACAAAACCCATGACAAATACCCAGGAAAAAAAAAAAAAGAAAGTATCTCCAGCTATTTCCAATATAAAAGAGCCTCTCTCTCTCTGCACTGACACCTTGAAAAAACACAGACCCTGCACGGCATTAAAAAAAAGAATTAAACAAAAACCTCCTTAGGAATAATTTGCAATGCAGCTCTTGGTGCTAAAGCCTAAAAAATGTCAGTTTATATAAACAACTAACTGAATTTTATCCACACCAATTATGGACATAAAGAAAAAAAAACAACCATGAGATGGATGGCACAAATTCTGCCATTTACGCAGTATTTTCTTTAATTGGGAGTTTATATTCAGACACCTTTTCTGTAAGACACTGCTTACATGGGCATTATTTTACTGGTAGACAGTGGGCACAGGATGGAATTACCCATATATAGCTGTGTAAACGAGGGTCTCTGTTCGAACTCAGAGTGACTTAAAGCTGTGAAACCCTCCTCATACTGTGAAAAAAAAAATAAAACAAATCCCATCCTGGTCAATTGAAGAAACTAAATCAATATTATGGAAGCGTAACAGAAAAATGTCCTCAAGAGAAAGTCACATGAAGTTCCCAATTTATCAAATGTTGTAAGCACAAGCTTAAAACAACCCCTATTCAGAACAGCACTTGAGTGCATGCCTAACATTTAAGTATGTGCTTAAGCCCCATTGACTTCAGAAAGCTTACCTGACTTCAAGTTAAACATATGCTGAAGTCTAGCCCAGCAAAGCATTTAAGCATGTGATTAAGGCCTTGTGACTTTAACCCAGGTCTTAAACTGTTGGGATAGGGTAGGAAGCGAGACCTGAGTTTTCAGAGCAGGAAAGCCTGATTATTCTGCCTGTCACCACAGTGCGTTCGCAGGGCTCCAAAGAAACAAGAACCTATCAAACCCTCTAATCTGAAGAGAGATCAGGGCAAGACCCAAACAATCCAGTGTGTCCGTGTCTAAAAGAAGTAAAGGCGTCACAGTCACACCTGTGCGGCGACTCCCAGCTCTGGTGACGGCTCTGCTGGAAGCTGACCCTTGAAACAAAGCTCCCAGCCTACACCACAGAGAGGTACTCGTGAGGGAGATGGGGATCCAGGGGTGTTAAGTCTAGATATGTGACATTAAAGTTGAATTACTTCAGAAATTGATTATGGAGGGAATTAACCCCGTGTTAAAGGGCAGATGTGTCACAGAAAAGTCCGATTTCAAGGGAGTGACAGATCAGATTTGAGTCGAGGCAGAGCAGTGGCATCGCAGAGTGGGCCCTCAATCTCAGAGAACAGGACTTGTTTGAACAAGTGAGGTCCAAGACTGTGAGAAAACTCCGAGACCTGCTTTGCCTCACTGTGTGCACAAGGCTTCTAAAACCAGAGACCTGTGCTTCCCCTCACCCTTCCCAACACTTGCGCAGGGCAACGAGGACAGAGCTCAGGCTCCTTAAAGAGGTGCCTGAATGAGAAGTGAGCAGGAAGGGCTGTGGGTGTCCCCGCCTGGCCTCTGGACAGCCCCTCGCTCTCTAACAAGGACATGCTGGGTTGCCTGAACTCACGAATCCTTTCAGTCCAGCCCAGCAATGATATGGCTCAGACACTGGCTCTCCATTCGCCTTGTGTGCGAGCGCTATTCCCCGTCCGGCCGTTACCTGCATGCAGTGGTAGTGTGTGCTTTTCCCGTTCAGGTGGCAGCCGTGATAGTACACGCTACAGTCATCCAAGGGGCTGAAGCGCATGAAGCCGTGCTGGAGGGAATTATCACGTTTCTTGTGCATGTTGTAATGTCGAATCACATCCTGTTTACTAGTGAATCTCTGGAAAGATACCGAGACAGACAGTGAGACGGATGTGATGGGAGCGGGTGAGTAATCCTGGGGGTAGGGTGGTTGTTGGGGTTTTTTACGAATAAACTTATAGTCCCAGGAGGTTAAAGCCCAGCGGTAATCACCCCAAGCCAGTCAGACTGAAGAGGAGTTGTGTGCCTGCATCTTCTTGGTAGAGTACACCCATGTGAGAAGTCGTGAACTCGACACTGGGGTGATGTCCAGAATTCGCTCCCTGTGGCTTTAAGACTGCAATTCTTCTAACATAATTTTAGCTGCTACTATCTCAAGAACTGCTATAGTTAGAAAGTAAACCAGTGAACTAAACAGCCTGCAAGAGAACCATCCAAGCTTCCAAATCACTTGCTGTAGTGATTCGCAAGACACTGGCTGCCACATTCATGTCAGACTAGAAATTGGGAAAAACACTCTGCTTTTTTTATTTTAAGTCTTCTGCCTCCCCTGCAAGGTAGGATGGCTTTTTCAGGAGAAGGGGACACAGAACTTTCTTTCAGTCACAGAAGAAGGTGGTAGTAGAGCTCAGAGTTCAGTCTATATGACCAGAATATCCTTTTCATCCTCTACCTGCCTGAAGTAATGAAGGGGTACCCCACTGTCAGAGCAGGCTAAGTGCCTTTAAAATGAAGCTTTTCATTTCTATTTCCCACAGACATCAATATTTAACAGTGAAGGTGGGAAAGTAAATCTGATTTTTTTAAAAAAAGAAATCAATATCCATTTATTTTGAGGAGTAATTGAAAAGGGCTGTATTCTAATGTTCAACAACTTTTCTAGTCTCCCTCACAGGAAACAAATGATTATCGCTCCCAC